GCTTTACTTTAGCAGAGAGAAGAGACTGAAAAGAAAAAAGAGAAACTGGTTCTCGCAGGTTCGTTGCCTGATGCAGTCGCATGTTGGACGAAAGTGATCATTTTGCACCAGTGAGTGTTGGGAGCAAAGGGGCGGGGCTCACACAGTGTACGTGTAAATCTGTGCGTGGTCGAGTGATGTGAATGTAAACATACTGAAGAAGATATTCTGTTGAGCATCAGACTCAGTGGGAAATGTAAAGATGTATATGTTTGGCAAATCATTTAAAAATGACCTGAAGTGAACAATGTGAACAGGTGTATATTTAGATAAATGTAATGTATTACATTGGTGTGTCCTATAGTCCTGTAGAGTAAGGCTTAAAAAACAAAGGAAGTTTTGTACTCTAGCACTTTCTTCAATGTGTACTGTATTAGTTCATCTTCTACATGTAAAGTACTGTATGAATATTCATTACTTGCCTTGTAACATTGAAACAATGCTACGTTTAGAAATGGTAACCAAGAAAACAGTTTTTAGAGTGTATGCATGCCAATGGTTGGGTCCCAGAACTATATGAAAAAATGGTGCTATGTTACATATATAAAGGTGCTTCTATGGACCCCAGCTGAATGCATGCAAAGAGGAACTGCCAAGAGTAGAAAAAAAAGAGAAAATCAATGTCCGACAGCTCAAACAGCGCTGCTTCCCAAAGATGTCGGAAATTTTGAAATTCCAACTTTCTATTTGTTAAATTGCAATAGTCCTTCGAGTTAGCATTAAACCAAGTCTGGCTTACAGAAATCTGATGACAGTGCGTCGGGAAGTGGCTCGTAACTCAAGCTGAAGTGACGTTCCTCCCTGATTCTGCGGAGCGACATCACCGGAACACGCTGAGGTTGTTAACAGTCAGCTGGGAATTTCTAACTGAAGACTAGAAGTGGAATCATATTAGGTGGCAGATACCCGACCTGGTCACAAATGGTGAAGTCTAACTGTAAATATCAGTACGACCGTCGTCAGACGAACCTGGATCAGTCTGACCCTGGATCAGTCTGACCCTGATTGCGGCCCTGAGCTAATATGAGAGAGAATCTGGTCAACACCATGAAGGCAACGTAAACGACCCAGATCCTCAAACTACAGAAGCAGTTTTAATTTTGAAGAAAAGAAAAAGCTCATGTTTATTTACAGTTACACTGCCTTTGTGTCCAAGGTCTAAAAGATCTATAGACAATCTACTGACATCGTTTTGTAATCTTGATTCTTCAGATGTTTATGTGTTGGAATCATTTCTCATGTAGCAAAGAGCAAAAATCAATGTTGTCTTTGAAGGTCTGAGTTGTTTGAGTTTGGAAAACTTGTGCTGATTGTTGCTGGAAAAGAATTTGGAAAAAGAAAATACTGTATGTTTATTGGTTGTACTGCTCATCTTTCTTTTTATGTTTTTCATTAAATGTTTTACAGTATTATCGCTGCTTTCATTTGTTTTCTGTTGCAGAGACTTCAGTCAGTGTCACGTTATATTGAACACATCTGCAGGAGCACTTTCCATAGACTGGAAACAAGATGGACGTCTCCACTTCCTCCCACTATCCAGAAATGCAGCCTAATTATCTAACATCCAGATGTTTTGACTTCACTTGGGAGCAGCCATGCCGTCCATCTTTATCTCAAGTTTAAAGCTGTATCTGGTTTGGAATAACTCAAGCACTGTCTACTCATTTTGGCATCAAATTTGTATTAATCCGCAACTGAAAATAGTCCCAGACAGAGTGTCACAGGGTGACGTTGTCCCACAGGCCACAAATATACCGAATGTTATAAATATTAAATATCAAATATCATGACGAATAATAACAGGTGGAAATTAGCTTTCTGATTTTCTACTTTCAAAATGTTTCCATAGAACATTTTCTTAATGTTTTTATTAATCTGTTCACTAAACCTTTTGCCTTGCAGTGACAACCTCTTACCAGTAGAGGCGCTGCATTCCCCTCAGCACTCACCTCGCAGCCTCTGAAGAAGCTGCTGCTTTA